CTTTCGTTCATTTTAATCTAAGGTTTGTGTGAATGCATAAGTCCCTGTGTAATTTCAGCTTCATCTACATAGAGTCGTTTTAACGAAGTGAATTAGTTCTATGGTAGAATTCCTGATAGTTACACGGGAGGTCCTCTTTCTACTCCCCGTTGACACACTCCTAAATCTCTCTTAGTTTACTAGCATAGAGAAATGCACTGTGAATGTCCTGTTTATGTTCGACAATGATTTTTAAATAAAAGTTGATAGTTTTAAAATGATCTTACCTCTGGGCTCTATGCTAGTGGATGTTTTCCAGGCAAAGCTTCAAGATGGTCCACTGAAATACACGGTTAAAGGGCATGACTATTATTATCGATACGTAGATGATACCTTCATCGTTTGTGATAGAAATCTTAATAAACAAGAGCTTCTGAATGCTGTTAATAATGTCCACTCATCAATTCATTTTACATGTGAGGAAGAATAAAGTCACAGTATACCTTTATTAGATGTCCACCACACCAAGAAGACAAATAGATATCTCGCAAAGGAACCTGTTTAGAAAGAGAAATTGGACGGGTCAGTACACCCATTTTCATAGCTTCACACCGATTCAGTACAAAAAAACTTAATTAAATATCTCATTTGTAAAATAAAACGCATATGTTCAGAGGAGTGCATTAAGGAAGAAATGTGTGAACTGAAATTTACACTACAAGGAAATGGATTTCCATATAACTTCCTAAAAAAGTATATATCTATAGCTAAAGATAGAACAGCTGTGGATACCGTAGATAAGGAACCTTTATATCTTAAGTTAAGTTAACAGAGAGGGATTGCAGCTAACATTCTAAAATGTTGACTTAACAGGATATTAGAGGAAATATTTCCTGCAGCTAAACTTGTACTCAGCTTCTCAACTAAACCAGTAGGACAGCATACATACCTCCTCAGTTTTGTACCAATCTGATACAAATCAATTCGGTCAGATGCCTCCCTTATAGAGCAAGACGGATCTGTTTAGATGACTCCCTAGAAAATGAATTAGGATACATCCCAAATACTCTAGTACAAATGGGTTATCCCAATGGATTTGTAAGGAGACAAATGAACACTAGGTATAATAAAGAGAAACTGACAACAGTTAAAAATAAACAACTGTTCTTAAAATTGCAATTTAATGGGGACGTGGCTAGTAAAGTCTTACACATCCAAGATTGTCGAGAGCAATAAAACGGACTTATACTGCTGCCACCTTTTGTTTGTCATTTTCCAGCTGACCAATAATGATTGCTCAAGCGGAAGACAAGCTACCTAGCTGTGCCACTTCTATGTGTATCTACAAATTTAGTTACTCCTGTGGAGAAAGCTATATAGGGCGAACAACTATGCATCCACACATCGTAATAATGAACATCTTCCTTCATGGTTCGGAAAAGGCCAAATAAAATCTACAAGTTCTATTTTGACTCATTTGATTGATAGCGGTAACCAAGTGGACAGAAATGGTGCCTCCAAAGTTATCTGTTGCATTCTATCGAGCCTTTCGAAAGGAATTCGAACCAGCCTATTACATATAGCCGAAGCTATAGGAATTAACTGGAGAGAGCATTCCTAGTCTTTGCACACAAAAGAGGTTTGTTCTACCTTTGTGTCTCCCTTGGCCTAGGTAAATTCTATTCAAAACCCTCCTACCCTTTCTTATTTTCCATCTCCTTCATACTTTTATGATATTTATTTAAACTCTGATTATTTGTCCACTTCACCTTTAGTATTACGTAACTTTTAAGATCTTACGCAATTTATTTATTGAGTTGTGTACATATACACATATTACTACCTTTGTCACTATTATCGCCACCTGCATAAACCTTATTGTCATTATTATTTTCGTTATCATTATAATCATCGTTATTAATGACGTTCAAAAAATTTACCACATTATTATTATGATTTTTATTGGATCCGCAAAGTCACCGTAACTGGTTAAAATTTTTATATATAAATCTATGTAAATTAGAGTAAAGCCTGAAGATCTTATTGAAAAAAACAATACTGTCCGCTTATATGTCTTGTTCTAAACCAGCACCCACGCCATGAGTCAAAAATGGCCTCATAAATGTGTATCTATGAATTCAACAGCTCGTGTGGAGCTAGTTACATTGGCCGTACTCAGGGACCTCATCCATGCCCGTATGTGAACATGTACATGTGTGGTTCAGCATAGGGATAACCAAATGTGTAAATAGTGCGTTCTTAGCCCAGGCGTTCTTGGTTATCTATCGCGTCCCTGGTAATCTATCTAGAGGAGCTCGACTATGTCTTCTATCAGTAGCTGAAGCGGTAGCAATCAAAACCAGAAGATCGGCTCTTTCTGTGCAGAAGAAGTATGTTCAACCGCTATGTTTATCTTGGCCTACACTAAGGCCAACAACAAATCCTCTATAAACATTAGCACTTTAAATTCCTATCGTAATTTTTTAAAATTTTATTCTTCTTTTCCTTTGTTTCACATTGACAAACATTCATTTCTGACTTTTTACAACTTCATAACCTTTCTTATGATTTCTATTACCTTAGGCTTAGGTGATGCTTTTCTAACGTGTTATCATATTTACCAAATACCGTTCATTTCACTTCACTAAATTTATTACTAATTGATAAGCATTCACCAACAGTAATTTAAGTTTACACCACGTCATCGTTATCATTTCACCATCATTACTATTGCCGTTATTTTCACCATTGAACTCACGTCTAATCTATCTCATTTGTTGGTTTATTTTCTGTAGTATTCATACTGTCTCACACACCACTGATTATCCTCACCCTGGAAACCTGTACCTTTGTTGACTATATACATATATGTATATATATATCTCCTGAATTATTTCATCTTACTATATCCCATGTTCTTACTGACCATCCAGATTCTAAGTGGTAATAGAAAACTAACTCACTATTACTCCATCCCATCTTATACCCGTTCCACAGTACATCTTCTGCTATAATCTTAACTTGCACTCACCTGGTGGCTACTGAATGCTTAAATTAATGGATTTATAATTGCAGAGGCTGAAAAAAGAATTTATTTCAGGATTTCATCATGAACTGACATCGGTTAGAAGATTATTGGAAAACCTGGCAGTAATGGACAGTTGTTTCGTCCTAGTGTGGGATTGTTCATCAGTAAGCACCCACCGCCATAGCTTAAACTCTGGATCTTTCGGTTACAAGACGAGCTTGCAGACTATTAAGCCACTGGGACCCACTGATCCAATGGCCAATCCATGAATTCCAACTTCTTCCAATTCACGTGAATTTATTGAAACCACAATTGTTAGCTCTAACTATTTTGTTCAGAAGAGAAGGAAAGTTTGACGCGAGTCTAGAAATCCCACTACGTAGAAAAATAACTATATCATCTCTTCGCCGGACTTCAAATCTCAGAACTTGAAGCTCTATGTTCCAGGTGGAACTCAATGAATTAGCTGATTGTTAAGTAATACCCAGTTTTTGTCACTGTTTGAATTCTGGATATATCTATTACCTGTCTTTAGTCTGTCAAAAAGAAGTCAATCATAGGATTCTGTTTATCTTATTTCTGTTAGACTAAACAGAACAAATAAGAAATACATTAAGTCTTACTAGCATACAATGTCTGGTGAATAGACTGAGAAACTACCCTCATTTTTTTAAAAGAAAAGCTAATCAACAGTATCCCGTAAAACTTGTCTAGTTATGAGATGTAAATATTACTTAATGTTTGTGAAAAAAGTATGCCATTAGGTCGAAATGATCATAGAATGAAGACGGCTTTTCTGAAATTCGTGTAGGTATATACTTTATAAGACTGTGCGCGTGTGTGTGTTTATTTGTGTACATGAAGAATTAAGCTGAAATCGACGAGGTATCAATTAGTTATGTTTTTCTAGACTTGACTTAGACAATACTGTTTGTTAATAGACAATTAGTTGTCTGATGACGAAAATTTCACTTTGAAACGGTCTCTGATGTGTAAAGTCAGTCTACAAAATATTGAAAAGAATGTTACCCCTCTATATTAGAACTATTTGTTAAATATATATCTTCAGGAGGAAATTAAGAAGGATTTAGTGTGCACTGAAGTGACCTTATACCCCAGACAATTGTAGTAGGGAACAGCAATGAATTGGAAGTGACGAGTTAGTTATTCAAGAGAGGAAACGAATGTTTTTAGATGATCCAGAAGCCAACTGAAGGGTGTAGTAGAGGATAATGTGCAATAGAGATGTGCCACCGAAGATCAGTGTCCCACTCAGAACGCAAAGAACGAGAAATAATAATATTACTAAGTGTTGATTTACAGGGATTTGATTGGTTTCTAGATTTCACCATGAAGTGACGTTCAAAAGCTTTCCAGTAGTTCCTGTAGGTTTTCCAATGGTCCCCTAACCGATGTCAGTTAATGATGAAATCCCCCAACAAATCGAACAAAATCCCTACAAAACCAATACTTGAAAGCCCCACTATCTGACCATTAGGCAGAGAAAGGTGTTGGAAACTAGACATACGCTTAAGAGACACTTTCAAATGGCATCACACACCAGGCTGTCTAATGGAACTTTCACGAATAGAAAGAGACAGGTTTTGGCGTCTAGAGGACAACATGAAGGAGGTCATTTGACGGGAAAAAATGAAAGCCTGCCGACAGTCACGCAGTCACCTGAAAACAATGAGAGAAGATGAAGAACAGCACACATGCGCCTCTACAACTTTATGTAACATTCAGAATGCAAGAAATGAGAATGAAAATACATATTAAAAGTAAAGAATATTATATTTTTTCTAAAAATCATAAAAATCAGGAGTGTGCATGCGTGGCGGGGGTTGGGTGGTTGGGAAGTGTAATGATTTAATATATTTTGACGTATAAAAATAAAAAAGCCCAGTTCACACTGTTAAATGACTGTTATTTCTCGACTTTTTACGGTTACATCTTTGGATCATATTTATTCTCCTTATGAAAGAGATATTGTTTACAATTTATCACTTGACGATGAACGATATAAACACCAGTGTTGAATCATAAACAGAATATCAAATGCGATAGACAGGATACCAAGGCCAAGTTTCACCGGTGATCCAATGATACCGCCAATACTTTCTGTATAGGTAAAATGAAGAGAAGGAACAGATATGATGATAATAATAGTAATAATTGACATAATTTAGAATTCATGATCTGGTTATTGGATTCCTGGCCAAGTAAGTAGCTAAAATGGTTAACGAGCTTCGTCTCACAACCTGAAAGTGCTGGGTTCGATTCCCAGTGGGGTCGTGGGTGCACACTGATTAAGAGTCCTAGAATAGGACAAAATAGCCCATCAGTATTCTCTGGTAGTGTGTAGTATATCATTCGACAGAATTTAGTCTTACCTCCAGTATGCTCTAACTCCCAGCATATTTGTCTCTTCAAAACATATCCAATAGTATATGTTGAATGGTATTCAAAAATCCACGTGAGTACAGATTGTATTACAAGAATTTACGTGTTTATAACCACGTATGGATGATGCATTGTGTTCTGAGGAAAATTAGGCAGCCCAATGAATAAGGATTTGAAGTGAGGATAGGAGTTAGAGAAGACTACCTATTACCATCAATAATATACCTGACTGTGATGGACCTAACCACGTGAGAGACAGAAAGTAGACAAGAATACTTTGAACCGATTAGAAGATTGTAGAAGACCTGGACTTCGCTGATAATTGATGTCTAGTGTCACACAAACTCAAAGATCTACAGGAGAAAACCAACATGTCGATAGAAGAGATTAGCAGTAAAGACAACACCTCAGATGAAGATAGAAGAGGCAGAGGCGATGAAAGTAACTAACCAACAACAATAAGTACCAAGAAATCAAAACTAATTCAATTCTTCTTTTACTGCTTACTTCTTTTTCAGTCTGCACCGAAGAAAGGACTAGACACATAACACTAGTTACTAGTGTCCAATCAAAAATATCCACTACAGTCCTACAAGAGGTCAATCACAATCACAATCAATATTCACTTGGCGGCCTGCTTAAATCTTGGGCTACCAAATACCTTAATCATTACAAATCATATTGCATCTAATTGCTCACTTCCAATTTTATTTTAAATAATTAAATTTTATTCTAATATGTCCTCAAATCGGATTATTTATCCTCGTGAGTATTTAATATCCTTAAAACCTACTGATCGGAAATGCCACAAAAAAGACAAAAAAAAGCATCACGCCGGGTGGCAAAGAGCCTTAAAAAACACCCCTATTCAATTTATGACCGTTCCTGCAATCATGAGTACTAACTGTCGCTCCCTGCCAGCCAAGATTAACTATCTTCAATCACTTGTGTCTTCCATTATATATCGAAATACTGGGATCATATCACTTCAAGAAACATGGCTACACGATCTGTACGATGATAATCTAGTGTATCTAAATGATTTCAAACTATTCAGACAAGATCGATGCAGTTCTAGGTAGAAACGTGGTGGAGGTGTCGCCATCTTCATAAATTCACAATGGTGTACATCTAATAAAGTATGTTTCAAATTCTCTAGTGACAACATTGACTGCCTCACCGTCAAATGTCGACCTAAGCATTTGTCAAAATATAACTACATATACATCTCGAACATTTATATTGCACCTGGATGCAATTCCACTGAATTGTCTTTATTTGCTGATGAATTTACCTCCTTTGCTGCCACCTCCTTCGGAAACTCGTTGTCTATTGTTACTGGAGATTTCAATTCTAGTGATCACAATTTCCTTATTTCACTTGGTCATGATAACATTGTCAACTTCCCGACTCGAATGGATAATATTCTAGATCTTGTGTTCACAAATGACATAGGAATATTTGAAGCTCGGAAAAGAGCCCCACTACTTAACTCTGATCACTGCATCATAAGAGTATTGCCCAAGGTATATGGAAAGCTGCACAAAAGGGTCTTCTCCCACCTTGGAAAGAAAACACAACACAGATGCTATTCACATGATAACATACAGAATCTAAGGACAATGTTAAAAGACACAAACTGGGACCTGTTTACTGAACAAGCTCTTGACAACACAATTAGTAACATAACACATTATCTCAATTTCTGTCTTGATGTTTGTTGTCCTAAAGAGACAATCTTCTTAAAGTTCGACCGTTTCGCGTCATCTCAACTCAAAAAGCTTCGCCGTCAAAAAGAGAGGTTATACAAAATGAAAAATAAATCTGGTGTTAAGAGAATAAACACTTTGATTAAAGCCGAATTACAAAGATTAAATACTCTCTATAACCAGAAGTTTCTTTCATGTAAATCCTCATCTAATATGTGGAAGCTATTAAAGGAAATCACAGGTGGTAAGCAAATAATGAATGATACTTCTGTCGATGTTGATATGCTAAATAAATCCTTCATATGTATCCCTGCAGATGTTATGATTCCCAAATCTAATAGTATAAATAATGACTGCTTTTCATGTTTTAACACGAATGATGTCCTCAAGTGTCTTCAATCTCTCAAACCTACCCAGTCCCTTGGTCCTGATGGAGTTCCTGCTGTTATCCTTAAGAAGTGTGCTGACATCTTATGTTACCCATTAACTGACATTTTCAATGAATCTTTTTCCAAAAGTTTTATTCCTGACTCATGGAAAAATATCAAGGTTGTTCCAGTGCCCAAATCAACAAGTGGACCTACTGTCAAGTTTAGACCCATTGCTATTACCTCACCTTTTTTAAAAGTTATGGAAAGACTTATTTTACTTAATCTTGAACCCTCTTTAAAGCCTTTTAACGACCCCAACCAGTTTGCCTATAAACATAGTAGGTGTACCCTAGATGCCGCTGTAGTTCTATATCATAATATAGTCTCTAGTTTAGATAGAGGAGCCAAATATGTTCGGTGTGCCTTCCTTGATTACACATCTGCATTTGACTCTGTACCTAGGTCTCTCTTGTTAAGTAAGCTTGCTGCAACACAGAGTGAGAGCTGGATAAATAAGTGGTTGTATTCCTACTTTTCTGATAGGAAGCAGTACACTGTCTACAATGGAAAGTCCTCCTCTACCTCACTTACTTTAGCTGGTGTTCCTCAAGGTGCCGTTCTTTCTCCTTTTCTGTTTTCTTTTTTCTTACATGACTTGCCCCATTCTGATGTAGCCACTTTTGTCAAGTATGCTGATGACCTCTCTGTCTCCATGCCTGTCAACTCTCAGTCAGACTGTTCCATACTAAATAACTTTCTCTCGGAAATTAGTCAGTGGTCCTCTTCAAACGGTCTTAAGCTGAATCCGTCTAAATGTCAGGTAGTAAATTTTACTTTCAGACGAAAAAGTGACCTTCAACAACTAGCTAGCTCACATGGTCCCACTATCATAGACGGCATAGAGGTTGAAACTACATCAGATGTCAAGTACCTTGGACTGAGTATTTCCTCCGATCTTTCCTGGTCCTCTCACATCTTGCTAGTGACTAGAAAGATGTTTCGCTTAACGTTCTACCTTAGGAAGTTTAGGCAGTCTGGTATAAAGCAGTCTTTACTTTCTCAGTTTGTCAATTCCTGTATTCTACCCATCCCTCTTTACTGCTCCCCATTAATCTTTCCAGGACTACTTAAGAAAGACTTTGCTTCGCTGCATAGGGCACTAAAAGCTGTTAGTAGGGCAAGTGGGATATCGTTAAACCAACTGGTTAACACCATAGTGGATAGACATATAATGTCATGTAAGAAACTAGCGAATACTATATTGTCAGACCCTGAGCATCCTCTCTATACGCAGCTCTCTCCTTGCATTTCATCTGGTAGAACTAGAAGTAACTATAGGAAGCTATATGCCAGGACTACCAAGTATAAAAACTCCACAATACCTTATCTGGCACAGCTGTTATGTGATGAGAAAACTGTTAGGCATGACATGATCAATTTACTGCGGCACTCTAACAAATAGTTCCCATTAGCTTTTGTTCTCCTTTCTTTGTTACTATTATATTGCTGCTCATATATTCTATTACAGACTAATTTTATATATCGTATCCTGTGGTGCACTGTTTAAATATGTGAATGTAATGCTGTTCTTTTTTTATTTTATTTCTTTTATTTCTCTTTTTCTTTTTGTTGTTGTTGCTTTATATTTCTAAATCCTTATAAAATTTATGAGGTAATTAGATGCAATATTGTAATGAACGCTGAAAATTCCATACCTGTACCACAAATACTGTTTGGAATAAAGCCATTATTATTATTATTATTATCACGAACCTGAATGGCTAGCTCAGTGGTAACGTCTCTGACTGCAGGCGGCACTGGGTGACGCAGGTTCCAATCTCAGAAGCGACATGAGTTCCTTCGAGGTTGCAGATATGCCTTTCTGACTGACCGGTGAGTGCCAACTAGCATGAAACCAAGGTTAAGCAAGGCTTGCTGCCGATCGCCTCCAACTATCTAATATCAACAAATCAATGGGTACCGTGATGGTGAGCTACCTAGTGGCATGGTGGCCACATTGCATACTTGACTGACTGATAGAATTCATTCTGCACCAAAGAAAGGACTAGACGCATAACACTAGTTACTAGTGTCCAATCAAATTATCTTTTTTTACTTATTTGACAACATCGTTTCAAATACTAGCGGCACATATGAGGATTTTAAAGCCAGTCAGGATGGAAAAAGTAGAAGAGAGACTCATTACTCTGGAATCCGTGTGGGAATTGCGATGCAATCAGTATATAGAGTAAAAATCCGATATTCAACACTAATTTTAAAGTTAGTAGGTGCTTCTATGTGGTTCAGGAACCTGGTGATTGCGTTTCACGATACATTTGAAACAAGCTGTACACTTCCATCAACACTTTGTTTAACTGGCTGTGTGATGAACATCAGATGGTCAACAACGAAAGATAAGCTACGAATGACTCTGAAAATGAACCAACCAAGAAGCCGACATGTCAACCTGAGACCAAGCACTTCGATCCAATCAATGGACGGGAAAATCTAAAAATTAAATTAACATGACTCGTTGCACAAGAGGTGGCTCTCGTGGCCTGAGTGGTCTAGTGCATAACGCTTTGGCGTTTGAAACTATGGGCACTGGGTTCGAGCCTCAGTGGGAACACCATCACTCACTGGGAAATGCAGGTACATCCAGTAACGAGTCCCAAATAGGACGAAATGCGTAACCTGGATTCTACTGCTAGTCACCATCCACCAATTTACAGAAACTGTTAGCCAACAAATATGTCATAAGAAATGTTGATGGATCTGACACACGTTGAGGAAATCCCTGAATGACACTGAGAGCCAGGCCATTGTCCCAGTGGGACCTGACTGGGGAACAGCGAGTTGAGCGTCAGAAGATGATGTGGAGGGAGTCGTGCGAGAAGTAGATTGGAGGTTATTGGTAGTCGTGGAGTCAGCGAAACAAGACTTCGGAGGACAGAAATGGATGGAATGAAGCCCTATGTTCCTATCGAAACTCAAGGAAATAATAATAGTAGTGACTTGAGCAGGCCGCTTTTCACGAATAAAAGTGTGACAGTGTTATGTATCCCTGATTTTGACTAATTTTTCAAAAATAGACTCAAATCAGCTTAAACGGAATAAAAATAACTAAACCAGTCTGGAAAAATTTAAATAATCGGCTCAGAGTAGGATATTTGTTATAATGCGAGCACACAACTTTGAAGCCTGAATTTATACAACCAACTGGACTGCTTATTTATTAACGTGGATTTCTGAAGCTGATAATATTTGTATCTTTATACTTGTCAGATTGACTGTTCTGAATGCCTTGAACGAGTTTGGAGTCCTACTTTATTTGCATAAGCTCGGAGGTCAGAGATGATTCGAAATTATTATCAGTATTTGGTTTTCAAACGAGTTACTTATTGCCTTCCCATACCGAACTCTAGTCATAGCATTATTATTACTGCTTATCATCCCAACCTATGTGAGTTTTTGACGATATTAGGGGACCCAAACAGCAGTATATTTACCTCTCATTTTCGACAAATATAGTCAAACGAACAGCTGGCTATTTATTTTGAACAGAGTCGCTATAGAACAGATTTCTCATGTATCAGTTAAGGAGGCAAATGTATTCCTGTAGAGTTGATGAAACTGTTCAATTGCCCTCCCTCCCCGGGATAAATTAGACGAATAGGGACTCAAGATTGGGATCCATTGCCCTTTGAAACAATTGGATATAAATCCGAATCATAGTGGGAATGGCATCAGATGACGAGTCTTAAATGAGACAAAACGTGGGTCCCAAGGACTGCACCGCTAACCATCTCAAGTCCTACTTCGAATCATCTACATAATCACAGCTTGAAGTGGTAAGCACTCATCCATATAATAGTTTCTTCATTTCTGTTCTTCGGTAAACTTATGAATGTGTGTGAAAATTCGAATGCACTAATTCGACCAGGCCTTATTATTATTATATTATTGTATCCTTTAATTCCTACAGGAACATAGGGCTTCAGCCGTGCGTCTCCATTGCGTTCTGTTCTCTGCTAGAGTCTTCACCTGGCTCCAAGTCTGCCCACACGTTTTCATTTCCTCTTTACATGACCTCCTCCAAGTCACCCTTGCACCGACGACCAACTCGCCGCTTCCCTTTCGGGTTCCACCCGAGCAATGGCCTGTCTAGTGATGTCACTTGATGGTTTCCTAAGAGTATGGCCAATCCATCTCCATTTCTTCCTGCCTATTTGTTGCACAATCGGTTCCTGGTTGGTTCGCTCCCAAAGATCCCTGTTGCTGATCTTTTCTGGCTGACCATCTGATCTTGAGTATTGAGCGAAGACAACTGTTAATGAAGGTCTGTAGTTTGTTTGAGATGCTCTTCATGACGCACCAGGTCTCTGATCCGTATAGTAGCACTGACTTCACATTGGAGTTGAAAATCCGGATCTTATTTTTGATGCTGAGTGTTGTTGACATCCACACAGACTTGAGAGTAGTGAAAGCTTGTCTTGCTTTTCCGACCAGGCTTTACTATCTTCCTAGATATTGAAGTATACTAGTCCGCTATGTCCTACCGCTCTTGATTTTGACTGCTGCTGTAAGACACTGAGGTTTTCTTCAAAAGATATTCCAGAAAAAGATGAAAGTATTACGGACTATTAAAAAGTAACTTCGGCATACATAAGTAGTTCTGGAAATAATACAAATTAAGCAAGTAAAAGAGAAATTAGTTAGGTAAAGAAGTTCCCAGAGACAATACTTTCTTCCTTTGGAATGAATAACCAACATCATTCATCGGGTACTAGAGTGGGATCCAAATAGGAAACAATGAGTTGGGCAAGGGTTCGAGGTCGACATGGAGGAAGACATGTGAAGCGAAGATAAAAGCTTATAAGCACTTGTGGAGCCATCCAAAAACAACCTCAGAGGACAGAATGAAGCAGAGATAAGCTGTTGAAGTCGTGTATTCAGCCAGGAAACCAAGGGAATAATAATAATAATAAATGCACAAAAAACACACAACTCACTTTCATTATAAGCAATGAGTAGCATTTGAGCAATGCTAAACACTCCACCACTGAAATCTAATATGATATTGCCTATGCTCCAGCCGACTGTACTTTTCCGACGGAAATTCATAAATGCCTTAAAATAAAAGCAATAAGAATATTAGTAAAGATACATTTCATATCTATTTCAGGATATATATATGTATATAAATGTGAAGTAGTTTGTCAAATCAAATGGGAGTTAGTGTTACGAATGTTACAGAAAATAATAGAAATCCAAGTATTGGTTTGTAGAGATTTGATTGATTGGTTACAGGGTTTCATCACGAGCTCACTAGCGACTGACCCTATTCAGGTAGGTAGTTACCTGGGGGCTCTAGTGAGAAGTCGTGACCTGTAGGGTACGGCAAGTCGGGTGCGATGACAAATACTCGCCACAGATGACATTAGCTAGTGGTCGGTGCGCTATATTGTGAATTGGCAGAAGTTGGAATTCATGAGCTGGCTATTGGGTCAGCAAGTCTCAGTGACTTAATGGTCTACATGCTTGCCTTGTAAATGGAAAGTGAATGCGGACTGTTGAAGGGTCACAAACTAGGTTGATGAAACAGCTGTCCAGTATCCCTACAGGTTTTTCGAAGGTTCTCAAACTGATGTCAGCTCATGATGAAATCCTGTAACTAAATAATAGAAAGTGTGGTGAGAGCTGGCTGCTAGCCGAATTGATAGACAGTAATTTACGTCAATGTTTACGTACCCAATATTGGTCATGAGAAAAATAAGAACAAAGACTGATTCAACAACCAACCACAGCAGACTTTGCGTAGGCAGATACAATTTCCAGATAGATAATCTGAACTTCAATAAACGACTACAAAGAGATGAAAGATTAACATTCAACGAGAAACCGCCAATGAGAAGACTGTGTTTGTTTGCTTACAATAATCTATAATAATGTATATGACAATCTATAAATATCTGTTGATTTCCTAGATAAACGATCTGTTGCTTGACTCTTGCCTTCTGTCGTTACAAAAGCATGGGATACCGGAAAAATGTCTGGGTTCACATAGTAACCTGAGAGTTTTGGGTTTGATTTCCAGTGAGTTTAGTTGTGGTTGCACACTGGTGAAGAGTCTCAAGCTACGACGAAACAATTCCCCAATACACTTTGGCTTTGCGATAATTCTGTAACCAAAGTATCAGTTCTTGATATAACTGGAAATAAACGGAAGAATGTTGCGTACACGGATATGTTATTTAAAGGCATGATAACATTTCATGTGGTGTTTTTATCAAATCACTGGTATATTCTGAGGATCTGTGTGATTGAAATATTGATGAGTACCCGAAAACAACATTGAACGAGTACCTACTCAACATGTTTCCTAGCAAATATGATGCAATACAATGTGAGCAAAGAGTCATTTTATTTGATTTCGTGACTCCATTGCACATTTGACCGACAGATTTCGATAAACTCGCGGAAACCGTCCAGTGACTACTTTGTATGCATAATGAATCCATACTGAGATTATTTATGAACTATGAAGACTAGTAGTAAGTCAGTGTTTTTTGAAAGGGTCAGAGTGTTTAGGTTCTGTTGATACTGGATGGGAACTAATGCTCTTAAAGTGTATACGTTGTCCCGTCCATGAAGACTTTTTAAATATGCATCTTCCTGTGTCATCAGTCCTTTTTACCAGAGAAACATCTGGGAATCTGATAGGGTCGTTTACTGGTGTTCTGTTGGGAAGAAGGTCTTCATGGTCGGGACAGGCTGTAGACACTTTAGGAGCTTTTTTCCTAACGAACGTGAGAAAAAAATAGTCGGAACACTGCTCAATAAAGCATGGAAAATTTGTTACAACAGTAAAATTGAGTATAAAATAAAGATTCTGAAGGACTTTTCATCTAAGAATCGATATCTGAGGAGAATTATCAACAAACATTCTAAAGCAATAAGCGCCATGCATGTCAATCTGTCATTTAAAGGAGATGATGTAAAAGAGGCAACAGGATTTCATCATGAGGTGACATCGGTTAGCGAACCTTCGGAAAACCTGCCAGGGAGTACTGGACAGCTGTTCAAGTCGTCCTAGCTTAGGAGTCTTCATCACTATGCACCCACCCCACTGGTGTTCAAACCCAGGACCTTCAAGTTACAAAGAGAGCTCATGGATCGCTCACCCACTGGGTCCCGAACCAGTGGCCAGCCCATGAATTCAAACTTCTTTCAATTCACAGTAAAGCGCAGCGACCAATAGCCATTGTCATCTATGGTGAGTATTTGTCCTCACACCCAACCTCCACTAAACTAGAACGAAGCAGCTGTCTAACCTATGTCAACTCATGATGTAATCCTGTAACCAGTCAATCAAATCCTTTCAAACCATTACTTGAATAAAAGAGGCAGTTAGACAAAGACTTTATGAAAGCACTAGAAGAAATTATTGTGCTACAAGACTCGTATTCCTCAACACCCCTAGGTGGATGATTCAAAAGACTGGGAAAGAATAGTCGCCAATCCTCGATGCTTCCAACTGTGTGCATCAATTTAAGCGTGTTTGTGGAATCAAATGCATAGATCGTGCACAAAGGTGATTGTCTACTCGTATGAAGAAGCATTTGCATAAGTGGTTTGAAAAAATCTGAAGTCAATGTACCAAAAGGTTCAATAAAAAAGCATCTTATACACTACGGAAATCATACTGACGCTTTCAAGTCATTCATTGTTGCCAGGAGACAAAAACAGAAATTGAAAGGTACTTGTATTTAAGGAGGCTTATGCAATTAAAGTTTACAAACCCGATCTCTGTGTAGAGAAGGAAATAGTGGTCACGCTGAATTTACCATGGTAATATCATTTACTTATTACCTTTTATTATTATTATCATCAATATTTTATTGCATTTCTTATTGCCATTATTATTATTATTGACTCATTTGAGACTTACTATTATTCAGTTTGCAGTTTCGGACATTCGCAAGTTCTTTCTCTGATATCTGAGAGTTTATTATAGCGATGTAACTCAGCCATCATCCAATAAAATCCTAATTTTGATCAATCATACTTCCATATAGTCCTGAACAATAAATTTGAACAGTTTTTGCTGAATGTTAAGAGTGGAAACATTGTACATAACTTTTGTTTAATCGACTTCTTTCTAAAATACATAGAAATATAGTCTTGCAGTCCGTCTCTTTGTCTTCTCACTGGTTTTTACTGTTTACTTGCTTTGCTTATCCCTGTATTGTATTCTTTGGGACTTACAGGGACATCTTATCCTCATCCAAAGAGTCTTCAACAACCGATGAGCAACTTCTACCAGTGGACATTACACAGCCGTGAACCGTATCAGTGGATTACATTATTAATTTGTATAAGTGGACAATAACTATATTTCTAAGAACTTTTATCCTTTCATAACTAATTTATCTGTACATTTATGATATACTGCTTCAGTATAACCAGCCAACAACAACAACAGCAACAAGAACCAGCACCAATCACCATCAACGAGAGAGTTTGGATACAGGTTACTTCCTTCACTTATCTGGCTAAGAAGAACGGTCTCAACCACAGGCAGTCGACACGGATGAAGATGTCAAAACCAACCTGCCAACCAGCCAGCCAGAATCAGAAAAGCCAGATACGCCTTCATCAAACTGAAATCATTTTCGAAATATTGTGCACCAACTCAGCCAGAATTAAGAATAAGATTCGGATTATCAACACAAATGTGAAGTCCGTCAGTCAGTTCTCCCGTACGGGTCAGAAACTCGCAATGCATGTGTGTTACCTAAAGCAGACCACAGAAGACTTTTATCAACAGCTGCCACCTTCGCTGGCTGACTGGCTGGCTCCATACTGAAGATCAAACGGCCGACCAGCCGGCCAGAAAGAATTAGCAACAAGAAACTCTGGCTGACTGGGAACAAACCAACAGACGAGAGCTGATTGCTCAACAAATATGTAGGAGAAAATGGAGATGAATGGATTGGGCTTATGTTGAGGAGACCATCGAATGACGTCGCGCGCAATGCAGGCCATTGCTGGAGTGGAATCCCAATGAGAAGCAATGAGTGGGTCGTTGGTACGAGGCTGACATGGAGGAGATCGTGTGTTGAGGAGGAGGAGATGAGAGATTATGGACAATCGTGGATCCAGCTGAAGACGATAGTAGAGAATAGAAGAAAGTGGAGATGTGTTGTACAAGCCCTATATTCCACTTGGAACCCAAGGAAATAATAAATAAATACCAATCTTTAGATTTTTGGCGTCTACTGGACGGATGTCCTGAAGTTTTAGTCTTATGTTCTGGCCAGTGGGAGGAAGCTGGTACCCATCGATGGAATTCTTGCCGGTAACTCCATATCACTAAATGAAAGGAGTTAGAATTCGAGCCTCATCGAATTCCGACCCTAATGACTGGATGGCCAACGAGGTGGCCATGTAATCTCAAAGTCTAGAATTCAGTCGCTGCTGGAGTTGTAGTGTCTACTGTGGTGAGAGCAAGCTGCTAGCCAATCGGTAGACATTGGTCTACGCTGATTGGTGGAAATTAATCTAGGCTGATTCAACAACCGATCACAGCTGACCTAGACGTGGACAAATATGATTCGCAGACAAGTGGCTCGCATTTCCGAGAAATATCGAAAACGAGAAAGCAGAAGACTGCGTTTGTTTGCAAACAACCAATCAGAAGACCGCCTTCTTTCTGCGGGCAGAGCCTTATTAATGTACGTAAAATACATATAAATACCTGTTGGTTTTCGTAATAAAACTGATCTGTTGCCTGGCCCTTGTCTTCTGTTGTTACACTACTACTTAAGAGTCATAAATTGCAACGAAACAGCAGTCCATTACTTTGTTTTTAAGTGTCTTCACCTCAAGAGTCCCCTGTTATCACTAGTCATTCTATTCATTTTCAACATGCTACTTATTCATATATAAGTAGTTAAAAATTAATCATAAACATTATGAATACCACCTAATTAAATAAATCAAACAGAAAATTGATTTTTATTCTAATTTCATAACGATAATAATAATAATAATAATAATAATAATAAGTAGCTATATTTCAACACTTATATGTTTTTTGTCCAATGCATAAAATGACGGTGACGAAA